AGCATGGCATGCTTTTAGGGGCTGTCTGGCGTAATGTAATCCTTGTTGAATGTTTAGTGTCTACATTTGAGAACTTTATTAGAAATTTTTTGTTACTTTATTTGTTTGTTTGTTATTTTTTCGTATGTTGTGCCTTGGAGTGGTCTCTTATGCGCGAAGAGTGTGTCGTTATGGCTTTTATACATGCATGCATACATACATACATACATATGTACACACATGCCTGGATATATAGGAATGTTTATGCAGGACAACTTTTTCCCATCGCAAACGGAAACCAATTTCTCAGTATTGCTTCAAAAACTTTAGCGAAATTTTATGTGACCAGCATTTATTACGCTCTTTTGCAAAAAGTTCCAAACACCACTGAGAGCTATTATGAATATTACGATTTTTTTTATTTCGAAAACCCTTCGAAAAAATGGAAAACTTAAAAAAAAACAATGCATACATATCGTCGACTGAGTTGAAGATCGCCCTAACTCGGCTACCAGTTCGAAAACGCCCTATGTCAGCAAATTGTTGAAGAGCGCCCAATTTTAGAATTTGATGAAGGAACTCCCCCGTCTCATAATTTGGTTCAAAAACTCCCTATGTAAGCTGCCGTTTCGAAAACGTCCTATCTCAATATAAACTCAATATATCGGCAGCTAAAGTGGGGCTTGAACTATTTGTTGAGGCGTACGGCGTTCTTCACTTAAGTTCTAAAATATTTAGGGCGTTTTTCAACTCTTTTGCTTAGATAGGGCGATCTGCGACTCAGCCGTCGATATGTTCTTCATCTACATATTTATTTTTCTTCATCTTCATTTTGTTTCACATCCTTTCCATTCTTTCTTTTCTTTATCTTTCCTTTCCTTTCCTTTCCTTTCCTTTCCTTTCCTTTCCTTTCCTTTCATTTCCTTCCATTTCCTTTCATTTCCTTTCCTTTACTTCCGTTTAAGTTGAATGTCTTATTTCTATTTAGGTCAGACACTTCGTTGAGTACTCGTGGGATGCTCTTTGACCAAAAATCTGTCCGCTATGCAAAGTCCCAAGATTCCGCCAGCATTATCGCTGAACCGATCTCAGTCCAAAAGATTCCATGCGATGAACTGCATATGCCCTCAAGTTTTTGTGGGTAAGGCTCAGAGGCTGAAAATCTCAACTTATTAACCCCCCTCCCTCTCATTAAATAACGTTTTTTTTGGGCAGATATTGCTAAATTATTAAGAGTACACAGCTCGGTAAGATCTTAGGTTCCTTGTAATCTAGCCTCATCTAGCCTATTTCAACGTAACCACTGCGCAGAGCTTTGCCACCAAATTTTTAACTGAAACCTTCACTGAATTTGTTTAACAGTGAACACAGAGTTTGCTGAGGCTCTCCAAAATGAACATAGGGCTACTCAAGGGAATACTAACGATGCGCTGGCCTGTTAACCCCATGTCGCCGCGCACAACAATCTCTGTAGAAGCTGTGGATGTGCAAAAGAGTTGGAATGAATCCAATCCTAGAATGCGCTTCCAAGTTCTGGAACACCAGCATAGACATTGTCCCACTAGCACAGCTGTCTGGGCTGATGACATGGAGGAAAAGGTCTGGGGCAGCATTTTCTGGGAATCACAAGGGTATTCTCTAGGCTCTCAGCGCCAAAAAGAATGATTCCACGGGAGTTTTTTTTAGAAAATTTGGTCTTTAAATATATTTGGGTGGTTCACAAGGTGTCGTAAGTGTCGTATTGTCGTATGTCGTAAAGATTTTAACGGCTAGAGAAATGTTTAGAGGACTTGAAATCACCACCAACTATTTTTTAGCGGTGTGGAATTTCATAATAAAACTTTTATGTTAGCTTGCGAATTCCTTAAATATAGTTTTAGCCGTTTAAAGTTTATGACATACAACAGTACGACAGTATACAACACCTTGTGAACTCTCTAATTATGTGTGGTATTCGCTCTTCCAATCCTTTCTTAGAGCAAATAAGTTTGTAAATTACTGTAAAATACTGTCTTACACTAAAGTGTTTGATGTTTTTATAATACCAATAATACTTTGCTACCACCACCATGAAGGGCTGAAAAGCTTTAGTAAGACGTTTGACTACAAAATTAAAGTATCAACATCAGTTTGGGTATAGCCAGCGTTGAGGGTTCTCTTAAAATACGTTGGGACGTTTAGCAAATCTGTGATATAATTCGTCTTCATTCTGTCTTAGTATACTAAAATCAGTTGGGCAGTAAAAAACGCAGTCGATTGGAACGGGCCATGCAACCTGTAAGCAGCCTCAAGTTCAGCCTAATTTATTTCTATCCCATCGAGGAAGGTACTCCACAAAACGGAATGTATTGTAGTGCCAGGGGAAACCAGAGACCGAGAGGGACAACTTCCTTAGTAGATTTTAAATAGTTTTTACCGTGCATTGCGTACATCGAGCAGCGGTTTCGCAAGACTTCGAAAATGCCCCTAATATATTAGGCGACTTCCAAAGACGGCTGTATTACGGCTAGGAATAATTTAGAATGACATGCCAGGAAACAAAAGAGCGCCGCAGAAGTGCACAATTCAGGCCATGTAAAACAATTGATTACTTCTACAAATCAAATAAATAGCATACAGTCATCTCTAAGTCAGATAACAACATTTATGGAGATAAGAAGAAGGAATAACGAAAGGCTTTATATTCGGACTAAAAAAATGGAATGGAATAGAAACATTTGAGTTTAGACTAAAAAAAAGAAACCTGAAAGAAGGAAGTAATTTCTTCATCACGCCCATAAAAAAATGAGACACACTTCCTCCAACTAAGCCCGAGGAGAGCAAGCCTAAGTCAGCGGCAAGAACAGATGTAATAAGATTAGTTACAGTGGCATGATTGTCTATCGCTGCAGTTATTAGAGTATTACATAAAAACTGATGACCATGCGGCTATTGGCTTTCGCACACACACACACACACACACACACACACACACAAATATATTTATGCAGGCCTCAAGCCAAAGAGGATGATGATGATGAAAATGTTGACGATGCAATTTCAGAGCGGAAGTAGTAAGCACCCAAAGAAGAAAAATCGAAGAAAAGTTAAGAGTAAAGGCGAGAAAGATGGGTAGAGTAAGCCTGAGATGTGTCTATGTACGAGCAAATATGGTCTGCATGCGCGGAACAGAGTCAAAGCTTACAAAAAAAAGCAAAAAAAAAAATATACATACATATGTAAGACAGGTTCTAGATAGGAGATTGCGTCTCGCTGCAGCATGAATGTGGGCGTGTAAGCCCTACAAAGCATGAGCGAGAATTTATGACACCAAGCCAACATGGCGGCTGTTCGTTTGGCCTTCTTCCATCCAAATCTCACAATGCGTGTGGGAGCCCGTTAACTGCTCCAGCTCATCATTGAAATTTTACTCAGTCAGCCACACCAACCGTTGCACACTTAATACCGGCGAAGTGGCTCTGCACTGCGATCAACGGCGACAGATACGCAGCCTTCGCACATCTTCCTTCGGCGACTGCCTCTGCAGCTCCTACACCCGCAATCCAACTGACAACCAGCGCGCTGTGCTCTTCCGTTGCAAAGGAACCTCGTTGATGCATGATTGGCTGGTTAGTCGCCCGTCTGCCTCCTATTTAACTGCCTACGTTTCTGCCTGCATGCCCGTTGTCTCCATGTCCCCTTGGAGGCTGCATATCTGAGGCACATAACAGCGCCAGCAACAACAACATCGGAAAACAACAACAATCAGCTGTAAGTAGCACACAGTAGTGCCCTACTTAGCACCCGACACAATGGTGGAACTCGAAATTCCAACTCGACACTCAAGTACCCTCTCGGCTATCTAAGCCGGTTCGTTGCCGCATTGCAAAAGCCGTAGTTGAAAGACGATAGCACCAGATCAGCGTATACACTCGCACGCATGCTAGCGTGCCTAAGGATAATTCACTCATAACGTATAGCCACACACACATACACAGCACTGCACTCGACTGCCTGCTCTTTGCGCCTCTTCGGTGGTAGTGGTGGTGGTTTCTGAATACTTTTCCACTCGACTCGGCTCGTCGTCGACAACTCTCTACCGCTCTCTACTCGACTGAAGTATGCGTGCTTGTGTTTTCTAGTGTTTGTTGTTTTTGTACGCGCAGGACATGAGAAGCCACTTAGCAAAATCGATGGTAAGGAGGACAAAAAAAAAACAATTTGGTGAATGGGTTCGTCGTTGCTGTATGACTGAGTGAATGAAGTTGCACGACTTTTGTAGTCAGCATGCCTGGCTCCGTGGCTGCCTGGCTAGCTGCCTGTTTGGCTCTCGATGGCTGACACGGTCTTCTCAAGTCTATCGCTGTGTAATGGTGGTTGTTGACGGCTTTTGTTTGCTTGTTTGTATGTTGAATGCATTGTCGTTGGTTGGCCTGGGCTGCCTAGCATAGCCTAGCGCGCCCGGACCGGGCTGATGCGTTGGTTGGTTGGTCGACTGGCTGACTGGTTGTGGCTGCTTGGCGTACACGGCTAGTCGTTAGTTGTTGATGACACTTCAGTTTGAAAAGTGTACGCGGTCTCAATTCAAGAAGCCAGTTTCGAAAACTACTCGAGCTCAAGAGGACACTATTATCACCTTGAACGCCCACCAATTAAACGCGATGTGTCTAAGCGTGCAGACGTGCTTGGACCGCAAGCTCGAGAAAGCGAATTTGAAAATTTGTGAAATGATTTAGAATTGATTTCAGTTTGAATTAAAGCAAAAAAAAATTACACCAAGAGCCAAGAGAACGAGGAAAATTAAATTGTGAAAAACCTATTAGCTATTAGTGGCTAAAGTGATTGAAACTATTGACGCTTCATTCAGGTCCTTAGGACAGTGAAAAATTTTATGCGTCACAAATTGTTTGACTTTGAATTGTCAAAGCCCGCTGGTATTCCCTCAATCCACACTTTCTCAGAGACCCTCGAACAGAAAAATCCCCCATAGTACGTGCGCTTCATTGAACTATCTCTAAAAATTACTCCGCCTCCTGCCGCAGCCGCGTTCTGCAAACAACCATCAAAGTGGCTGAGAAACGCAAACGCACACCGTCGCCCGGACGTCCACCGCGGTCACCACTGAATCGACGTAAATCGCTCGAATCGCTATCGTCGAGTGCCGCCACCCCACCGCCTTCGCCCACGAAACCACGCAACTTACTGCCGTCGGTGCGCCGCAGCTCAAGAACGCCAACACCGCCGACACTACCGCCACCGCCACGCACCTCAACACCCACTCGTGTCGCATCGCCCACGCCGGCGGTCACCGCAAAGGAACGTCTACATTCAGAGAAACGTTCGAGCAGCACCACGGCTTCTACGATCACGCCCACCTCGATCGCTGATCATCTGCGTTTGCCCACAAACGCTGCAGCGGCGGCCGCTTTCAGTTCCTTTCCAGCGCTACACAGCATGAGCAGTTTGATGGTGCCATCGGCGGCGGCCCCCTTCTTACCATGGTCACCGATACTGCTACCACCGTGGGGACATCCACTCCTGCCTGCATTCTATCCGGCGGCTCTGCGTAACGCGTTACCGGGGTAAGCTGATTCAGAGTTTATCGGAATAAAAGGTTCTTAAATAAGAGGATATTTAATCGGGACGGAGAGCTTTGAGGCCGCTTAAGAAGCTTACTAGTAAACATTCTGTGAAGTTCTGTGGTACTCACTAAAATTTGATAAATTTTAAGTTTCTCAACATACTAAATCTATTGGCAACCCTCTTAACCACATTCTAAACCTTATTAGCTCCAAAAAACTGACTTTAGCATTGCGGAAGGACATTGAGAGATTGAGCACCAAAAGCTTTTAATTGTTCTTGTTTAAAAATATTCAGTAAAAACGTTGTTTAAAAATATCTGTTGATCTAGAAAGCGAAATTCTAACTCAGCGGGTTTTCGCTTGTTTCTTCTAGAACATTGTAAGTACGTATCTTCAAAACATATTCATTTACACTTCTCAATATTTAATGAAGTCTAAATTTTGACACAACTTCCGCTGGCAAACATTTTACTTTATGTCCTTTTTTCAAATTTTCCAAAGTGCCAATTACAAGTCAATGACTTTCAATTTTCCACACACAAACGCAGACAACTGCAAAAGATCGGACAAAGTGTCAACAAAGCAAGAAGTCAATAAAAAGGCGGAAATCAAGACAATGGCTCTCAAACACGTGAATCCTCTCGTTTTGATACAAGTGTTTCTTCTTTTATTTGTGCTATAAAGTTTTACAATAGCAGCTACCTGTGCGTGAGTAAGGAAGGAAAGTAGGGAAGGTAATGTTTTCTAAGGCAATAAATTAGACGGCATCATTAATGCTATTTGACAACAAAATTTAGCTATTCACACTTAAAAGAGTATTTCCTGTTTGATTGTGTGATGTTGGAAATATTTCTGCTTTGTTTCCCGAACCAACTTAAAGTTGGCGTTCAGGTGAAGAAATGATGTCTGAACGGTTAAGGAAGTAGATATGTTTAGTGATGCTCATTGAGCGTTCATTACTTCATTCATCGACATTCGTCTGCAATTCTCAATGGGCGTAAAACAAATTTGGTACAAGCATTTGCGGTTAAACTCAACTCATGCGCCCAAGAAGGAGTTTTGAAGTAGTTAAGGCCTACGACTGCTCCATGTTTTCAGCCAAGATACCTCTTAGAGCCTCATTACAAAAAAAAAAAAAATGTGTCACTTTCGTGTGAATTCACTCGTCTCTTGCCAGTCTTTGAGTATAACCCTCAGCACGCTCAGTGTAATCAATGGCCCTGGTGACGTAGTGGACCACAACTTCAAATGTTTTAATCGAAGTTAGCAGTCTTGGCCTTCTAGGCAATGTATTACACCCTATAAGCTGAGGCAAATGTTGGTTGCGGTCAGGAAATTTTGTCTCGCATTAAAAATTAATTTTGCAATTTTTTTAATAGTTTGAAATATTTTTAACAAATTTTTGGTTTTCGTTGAGGATCTCTGTTTAACGTTTTTTGAAAAGAATTTTTTTTGTTAGCTTTTCATGTTCAAAATTTATTTTCTACATTGCTCTAGACAAGCTTCAAAAAATAACAAATTTTTTAATAATAATTTTTTCTTGGGTAATGTTTTAACTAGGGCTGTGTGATTAATTGATTACTCAAAATTTTAATTAATCATAAAGTGAATAACTCAGTTATTCGATTAATTAGAAATTATGATTACTCAAAAGTTCAGTTACTCGAATAATCAAGATGTTTGATTAACCAAAAAAAAATTATATTTGAGTAATTTGCTTCATGATTAATCAACATTTCGAGTAAAATGAGTAATCAACATTTCAACTCTTTACATATGTATAAGTTGTTAAAGTTCTTTGAAAACAACGTTTCTGTTTTCAAAAATTAAAACGAAAATTTTTTTTTCATATACAGAGTAATTGATTAACCAACTTGCTCGAGTAATCGAATAATCGCACAGCCCTAGTTTTTACTGCTTTTGTAAATTAACCTTATAACATTTATACAAATTTGTATTTTCTTTAAAAGTTAGATATTTTTCATAATTTATTAACTTCAAATCAGTTATTGGACGTACTACATACATAAGTTTTTTAAGAGAAAAATTTAGTTGAAAATATATTTTAATATTTTATTCATTATTAAGGTTCTTGGGCGAGAACTTTTCTAAATTTTTCTAATTAAAATTTAAAAAATATAAAATTTTAACCATTTTTCTTATGTCTTTTAATATCGATATTTCGAAAATTTTTATCATCTTCTATTTTTTTACAAATGTAAATTTAAATTTTTTTATATATTTCGAGATTTTTTTGTATTCCTTAACATTTTTAAATATTTTTCCCGTCTTTTAAAGTCGTTTTTTATACTTTATTGGCTTTTATTTTGCTTCAACTGTTTATAAATTTTTTGCTTTTTTGAAACCTTTCTTCTTTTTGTTTTTGTCAAATTTTTTTAAAGAAAAAATTCATTCGACTAATATGTTTCCCCCTTTTCGAAAATTGTACTCAAAATTCCACAAATCAAGAAGTGATTCTTTTCGCGCTGAGAAAACATTAGTTAGCTCATTCTATTCACTCGCTGCCGTTAGGTTAACGCAAGCATAAATCCCTCGTCTGAGCAAATCCCTGCTTTAATAAATTAACTTTGATTTAAACTAGTAAATCGTCGGATTATTCACACCTTTGCCGTTTGCGGCAAACAAATCCTTCGCCGGCATACATGCGTTTGAGCTCAGCGTAGGCAGCTCATTGCCTTGCTCGCGACTAAGCCTCGACTAGTTAAGCGGTGCTGGTGGCCTAAGCTCAAGTCAGCTTACAGCATGCAAACAATTCGCAAACAAATTTAAGTAAATTTGATTTAAATTTTTTCTAATACCCACAACAATTACCCACAATCTGAATCTGATTAGGTTGAAAACTCGGTTAGTTGCCAGTCTGCTTTCTCGCACAGTTTCCTGGTTGCATACCTGTGCAAGCAACAGACTTTCCGTCTTTTCACATGTTACCTCAGCCTTCTTTGTGTTTCTTCCGCCTTTGTGCCCGTCCGGACGTCTGTGCGCTGCACTAGGCGTTGCAAATGCAAAACATATGTTACTTCCTCATACAAATTGCAGTGCAAATTTTTGGTTTTCCCAAATTGGAGTTTCCCAAAATGCCAGCGCAGGTTAGAAGCCACGGCGACAGCGTAGAGAGGGAAATCCCTGTCTGTCCGTCCGCATGCGCACATGTGTTGCTTCTTTGGCAAGGTTGTTGAATTTCCCACGCCATTACAGGTTCGTAAGAATCTATTATTTCTTCGCAATACACACAAACTAAGCGACGCTTGCATGGCTCTCTATAGTTTAAAGGTCATTTCAGTGGCGGCCAGCAATGTGTTGCTTGATTTGTTTGTGTTTGGGGAATCCCGCATCGGTCAGACAGCCTGTCGCCGTTGCTGGTGCTGTTGCCCAATTGTCTGCGTTTGGCTGTGCAACACCTACCTTTCCGTCCGTCCATCGTTTCTTGCTTCTTGTTCGGTTTGCCAGCTCAAAGCCATATCAGCTTGCATATTCCTGCACCACATCTCGATATTATCGCTTATCCACTTATTCGTGTAGGTGTCAGTTCTTCCATCTCGTGTGTGTTTTATTGTTTCTTCAATTCTCGCCTTCTCTTGTTTGTCTGCGCATTGATTTCATTTGTGCGCACCCGCTCAATAGTCAACTTTTCGGCACACATGTGTTTCACATTTGGCCAGGAATAACCCAATTTCACCTAAGACACATCCGCAGTAGTATGGAAATTCCCTCAACGCAAGACAGGCTACCACCTTTCGCCGTACTTGCAGCCAGTGCCGCGAATACCTACGAAACAAGTAACTAGAGATCCTTTAGCGTTCAGCCGCCGTAGAGACAATTTAGCGTTTTTTCCCATGCCGCTTCGATAGGAGTGACCGGCAGCGGATTGCGCTTGTTTTTGTTATTTGTTTTAACTATTCGGCAGTGTTATAAAACTATTTATTTACTCGCGGCATAGCTACTTCTATGAAAACTTACCGCCGCTGGGCAAGTACGTGTTTTTCGCGCCTACGCAGTTCGGGTATTTCCCGCGGGTGTTAGTGCTCTTGGGAAAATACGCGATTTGAGTACGAGTACTTGGCGGAAATCTTAAGCCGAGTATAGAAGAATAAATTAGGTAGTTCTTGAAGCTAACGCTAGGCACTTAAGCGCAAGGTAATGTGCGGGAATTTCCAGCGATTTTTAGGCGAAGTTCACTACAAACAAAGCGCGTTTGCGAAAGGTCAAGCATGTGGTCGGTGAGCTCTAATGACTCTGGCTTGCAAATTAAGCTGTGCTCAAGGACCAGCAGAATTTAGATCGGCACATTAGTCGAGGTTGAATTTGACAGGCAATTGCCTGGGTTTGAGTTTGTGGAAGCTGAGAAGTAGGCATGCAGGAAACTACTGCTAAATCTGGGCAATTTGTTTTAATCAAATAGTAGCTAGCGTTCGAAAGGAGTTAAGAGAGCGGAAGAGCTTCTGACCGAAATGGTGTATGTTTTTGGGCTGTTGTTAGCGCTTTTGTTGCTTAAAACTTTCAATTTGAGTTGGGGGCTAAAATTTATTCCTGAAAATACACAGTGGTCTGAATAGAGAATCTAGCGGGACAAAACTATTTGAACAGGTGCGCGTTGAAGAATTTGTACACCACTTCGTATCCACTAGTATATGGGACCTCTGATTACAGATCTTCAGTCAGGTTTTAAAAATCCAATATGGTGGACAAAATTTTTCAAAATTAATTGAATTCGCTTGAAACTAGTTACTTGGGGGCTCTTGGGGTTTTGGAGAAACCCTTCTGAAAATTGAAAACAATTGTATGGGTGTCGTAAAAGCGCACAAAAAGAGTATATTTCACCTTAAAGCCAACACTTTACAGACTTAGTTTTTTATAAATTACAAGTCGGAACTCAGCGAAACTATTTAGTTTTTTTTTTCTGTTTGAAAATGCATTTAAAATAATTTCAAGTCCAACTTTTCACGTAGAATTTACAGAGCTATAAAAAAAACGTTTACTAAATATAAGAATTGATTAAATAATTTTTTAATTTTAAACCCGTTTAACTGCTACAGCTTAGTTTAATATTTTTTTTATTAGTGAAAGAGATGAAAGAAGAAGCAGCTCGCATGAAAAAAAATCGACAGCTAAATAGCTCTGCCTACTCATTTCACCGCTTGGCACTAAGTTTGTGATGAGGCAAAATAAATTTTGGTACAGAAAAAAATGTCAAAAATTTCAAACATTACAAGATCTAAATGCAATAAAGTGGTACTTATTTTAACTGTCACTACTGTGCCCAAAAAATGGCGCACAGAAAGGGCTCTTCGCGCTTATGACTCAATAAGAAGAAAAATAGGCAAAATTCATGCTTCGCTTCGCTCGTAAGCACTGGATTAATAAGGCTTCTTGACAAGACGATTAGATCAAGTACGTGGCAGGACAACGGAGTTAAAGAAATAACAACTCTAGAGGTGTTTTAGCGCGTCTCGTGACCATTTTCTGTGCATCTAAACGACGCATAGCTTTGAGGAATTTATATGTAGGAAATTTTATCTCAATTCCGACTGAAGTGGAAGCTCAACCCGAAGCATCCATCATCAAAAAAAAAAACAAAAAAACATAGTCTATACATTTTATTCAGTTTGTTCTACATATAGCTAACCCCCATTCTCTCCTCAATTCTTCTCTTCCATATAGTCTCTTCGACGCGAAGGTACCCTCGTCACAACGCTCCTCTGGCTTTCACATATCGGACATACTGAATTTGGATGGCAGCGAACTGAAGAATGGCGTTGTGCCACCACATGCCGCCGCCGCTGGCCATCACAGCGAAACTGATATTAGTCACAGCATCCAGCAACACCAGCCCCATCACGCCAGCCATCTCACCCAACTGCATCCCCACCATCACAACAATAACAATAACACCAGCTTACACAACAACAATAGCAATAGTAATGGTGATGCACACAGTGCACATTTAACGCCACCAGCGTCAGTATTAAGCGGCGCAGGTTCTAATACGTTAACGGTACCCAACGATGATCAGACAACTCAACACTCTGCTGGTACTACACCCACACCAGTGGTAACTGGTGGTGGTAACATATTGAACGGCACCGATGGCAATGGTGGCCAACCGAACGCCGCTTCGGTAGCGGCAAATGCACAAGCCACCGCACATCTCATCGCTAGTCATCACAATGCCGTTGCTGCAGCAGCAGCCGCCGCAGCGGGTCAATATTTGCCAAAGAACTTTTCCAGTTTCAGTGATGAGCTGTCGTCGTATCATCAGATGACGCATACAGTGTTGGCGCATCCGGCGCGTAGCGCTTGGATTAAGGAAAATGAGCTTTATGGTGAGTAGAGCGAAATTTATTTAAATTGTTTGCGCTTTTGAAGAAAGGGAGAATTGCGTCAGCGTTTAGCGTAGATCGTGAAGCGCAGCTCATAAATAAAAATACAAAATTTTTTGGACATGGCTAAGCTACGTTACGTAAGTCCCCTTTTTGTAGGGAATACTATAATTATCGACTGTTTCTCTAATCAGTTACAAAAGGTTACAAATCTTCTACCTTAAAGAAACACATTAGAATTCGAATTCATTTCTAATAGTTATCTAACCTATGTATGTAAATGTTGAGTCTTCGGATTCGAAGATACTGTCAGACTTGTCTCAAATCATCTCGTGTAGCTTTCGCTGAAGCGAAGATCTCTCATCTGCATTTTCGGTGTTCGGTGTGCGCTTCTGACCTACCAACTAATTAGTACCGAAAAGCTTATGTATTTTGGAACGATTTTCCGTCATCCCTTGTCAAATTTGGTTTGGAGACAAACCGGTTTCGGCGTTGTGCCATCTTCAGTGTAATTTTTCGAGTTCCACAATGCATCATACTTAAACCCTGTCGGGAGCACCAACAACGAAAATGAGAGTACCGAAAAGCTCTTTCCACAGAGTTAAGATTTTTGAAAGCTCGCGAGTGGTGAAAGCATTTTTGTGAGCAGATTTCTCAATCACTCTGGTTCGCGGACAAAACTTTTCTCTTCCAACATGTTCGCTTGGAACCGCCACTACAATGAGTCCTATCACAAAAACTATTGCCTTTCTTCTTGATTTACGCTGTAACCTTGCCTAAGCGGTTCTGGCCAGTCGTTTCTTTCCTGTGCCAAATGAAGCCGAGTTCTTCTCCACCTGGTCTTTCCAGAGGAGTCCTTACTCATCCTCTGTTACTAGCAACGACATTTAAGTTGTATATTTTCAAAACTGGAGCCTTTCTGTTCATTCGTACCACAAGGCCGAGCCAGCGGAGCCGCAGTATTTTAATCCGCCGCACTATGTCTACATCGTCGCTTTCATTGTCCAATGTACAAAAACTATTAATTAAGTTTATTTAGCGCTATTATATCTCCGTCGCCCTGGCAACATAACCACACATTTCTAATGACTTAATAACTGCAAAAGGTAGCCAAGGGTATAAGGGGTTAAAGCACAGCTGCAGAAATTCTCAAAACACTGAAGAGGCGCACCTTCATATGGGCCAACAAGTAACGGGAGTGCGTGACTATTTTGAAAAATAAAAACTTGTAAAGAACTTAGCGAGAAAAAAAAGAAATAGAAGACTTGAGTGTCAAGCATTTAGCAAAATATGCCTAATCCTGAAGTGTAAAACAGCAAAAAAGGGGCGAATGACAAGGGACGAGAGACGTGAAGGCAGCAAACAAATATGATTAGACAAATTTGTGTACGAAATTTGAAAAGCAATTTCATAAATACATACTGGGCAAAACAAAAAAAAAAAATAGGCAGATGCCGCAAACGCTTCGAGGGTGCATCGCCACCACCACCACCACAACACTTTTGCATTTGTTGAGGCGCGAACACGAACGCGCAGGATACTCACAAAGCCCACATATCCTTGCTCCGTTCATGCGCGTGTGTATGCGTGTATCTACGTTGACGTTGAACAGCTGCCTCTTGTTAAGATTGCCTTGAATCGATATGGTGTTAAATAAAAATAACTTTTTAACTTACAATTAATGACAAGCACAAACCTACCAAAAACCCAGTCAACGGACGACCAACCAACCATTCCACAGACTAACAATCATAGCATCAACCAACAAAACAACACCAACACTTAACCCATCAAATAAATGCAAGCAGAGGAAGTATCTGGCGTGGTGTATGCGAAATGTAACTAATTGTATTTGATGGCCAGTGTTGTTGTTGTTTTTGTTTTCGGTTTGTACGACACACTCACGGGTGCTGCTGCTATAGGTGGCTTGGATGGTCCGTCGTACATACATATTTATGTAGTAATGTTGGTGGTTGTTTGTGCACGCTGAGCAAACACACAATCAAAGGTTAACATGGAAAATTTGTCGACAATTTTACGGCTGGGCATTGTTGTAACCATACCTTTGGTTGCGGCAACACCCCAATATTCCTCATACAAAGTACATACGTATATACGCTTAGAACTGCTTGTAAGTGAAATTAATGTGCGATTTCGACAAGCCAAAAAGTCGAAACCAGTGTACGCCCATTTGAGGTGAGCGTGAACTGGCACTTTCGTTGCGTTTGGATGCATACTGTGCTCGGTTAGGCGGGCTAAGATAAGTTGCTCGAGCTTAAATAGGTCTATTGTGGTGTCCCTGAGTTAGTTCGTTAATCCCTAGTCCCTAATTGTCCTTAAAACCGATTGATCTTTTGGCGAATCCTGCCCAGCTCTTTATAAGGCTTTCAAATGAAATGCCTTCTTCGAAGCTTTGAACATGCGCAGAGAAGAAACGCATCCCAATCGCGTCGCGTGCTAAGAAAATAAATCGCAATATCATGCCGAAGCCTAGAGTAGTCTATTTTTCTTCAAGTTACCTTAGAATTAGTAAGACTCAGCATAGTATGGTTTGAAGGCGTCGATATTCGGTTTATTTCTTAGAATAATTCGCATAAGACTTATCTCGGTCGCAGGTCGAAAACACGTTTTTACGACCCGGCACAAGTCGACCTTCAGCATGACATCACAATGTGCCCAGCGGGATTGCAAATGCGATGACGCCAAGCACCACAGTATTTTCTACGCTATTCTTCCCTGTTCTGTTGCATCTTATCCTTCTATACAACCCCAACCAACTATATCCTAAACTGTTTTAATTATTGGAAGCCTATCGCATTCTTTCTTACCCTTATCCTTTCCTATCCTATCTTATCCTATCCTATCCTATCCTATCTTATCCTATACTCCAATCCTATATATACTCCAAACCAATACTCCAATCCAATATTCCAAACCAATACTCCAATCCAATCCCATCTCCTATAATCCAATCCTAACCCATTCTAGCAGGACAGAAGTATGCCAGTAGTACTCTTTATAGCCATTTCTGAAGCCGAGAAGGCATTTCATATTTCATATTTCTCTGAGTCCGAGTTAGTCTCCTAACATCCTTAAAAAAGAGCCGTGCTCATCGTATATGTAGTATGGCTGCCTTTTTCATTTTCTTTGCGCTCTATTCATAACCAAATAGCATCAATTAAATACCCAAACCGCCTGCAGTTTTCACAATCCTATCAATCTCAGCGCATTTACAATAACGAGGTCTTCCTACTTCCTCTCTACCTGAGCTAACGCTGCAGTAATAGACTATTCTGTTCATTCATCATTTTCCACCACATAAAAGGAGAAACAAAGAAACAGCAACAAAATCACACAAAATGCAACTACTATTACACCTCAGAACAAGCCACATACAAATGCGCTCTCGCTCATACTTGGTATTTAGGACAAATGTTGCTCAAGTCCTGGTCGCTCACCCTAAAAGCAATGGTTGCTGTGATTTTTTTTTTCGATTTTTTCTCTACACATCTTTTTTCTTGAATTTTCAATAACTCAGCGGGCGCTCATTGCCGTGCAACAAAGACACAGCAGCGGCGCATTGCCTACACTTCCTACTTCCAGCACTTCCGCTGACTCGGACTAAACAGTGTCAGTTATCTCGTGACTGACCAAACGATGCACCGACCGACCGATCGCTCAATGCGACATAGTCTCTTCGTATTTAGATCGCCTATGAAATAGCCGTTCGCTCATAGTGATTGCCTTCTTCGCCGGCAACTCCCTGCCGTAGATCGTTTTCATGTTGCGTCATTTGAGCTCCCCTCGCTCGCCGTTCGATCGCTGCAGACTACAATTAAACGTCGCTCGCTTGTCCGCCCTTTGTCAGACTCAATTGCGTTTTGTGTGTGAAAAGTGAAAACCTCAAATGAAGGTGTGATCTAATCCATGTGCCATCCTTCCGGTTTGCCATTCACATTGTTTAGTATTTGTTGCAGCATTATGAGATTGCGCGCTCTACGCACACACAAATGCACAAAAGGCGGGAAGAAGGAATGAAATGATTGTAAATTTTTGATGTACGACAATTTATTTCCGCCCAAATTACGAAAATTGACAGCAACACTGTTTATTTGCCCTCCTATTGTGCCTTGTTTGGGAGTTTAGAGGCTAATAAATTAAGGTATTTGGTAGGGTTGATGCCCAGGATTTACCCCTGCGACTGCGCGAATGAGAGAGAGAAGAGAGAGTATAGGCTTACGATTATTGCTAAATAGGAGAATAGGGGAATTGTATTGCCATAGGAAAACAATGACAAAAAGATGTTACAATTGAATGGAAATAAAGACAAATTGGATTTTTAATAGCTCAAGGGTATTAGAGCGCTGCGAAATGGAACAAAAGGCACTGAAGAGGAATGCGAAAACTAGGAATACTAGGAGCCGGTTTGAAGACGTTCCTTTTTAAAAGGCGGCGTACTTTCTTTCAGCATAAAAGTAGACAGTGAGTTTCCTAGCCGGTTGAAGAAGACCTGACTCAGTTGGGGGAAAAACGTACAAGTAGTAAAAAAAACGTATGGGAAACTTCTCGAAGCGATAGCTTGAATTGGTGTGTCCTCTAGAAAGCTGAGCTGGAAAGCTACATCAATTATGGTGAAGAGCTCGAAGAACTTAAAAAACGAACAACACACCGAACTAGAAGCAACCCAGAAAAAATTAGTTAGAAACCCTCTCGAAGGCTCTTCCTGCTGTTATATAAAACTGAGAAGTTAGACAACACACTTAATAAGGGCCGTTAGGCGTCCGAAAAAGTACTTACAGAAGTGTCCATGTCCCTTATTGGTCAGAACGAGACTATGGCGGATCGAGACTGCGCCAAAAATCATTGATTCGAAATGTTAACCACCTCTGTCGTAGAGATAGCAGTCAACCCCGAATCTTATTCCGTGGAACCTTTTATTCCATACAGGAAACTGCGTATCGAAATTCAAGGAATTTGAAAAAGTCTACTACGTAACCTAATCAATATTCCTCTAATTGTAGTTACCTAATCCACAAACCTTTGCCTATGCAAATCATAATATGCGCCTTAAAAATTTAATAAATCAAGTTAAGGGAGTCTGCGTGCATTCTTCAAATCTACCCTTGGCTCTGATCATCTTCTCCCCCACTTAAATCTCCCATCCGACAACACAAACTAATCAACGAATTTCTCTTTTTCTTTTCCCGCAGGCATTCAACAGCCAGCCAGTCCTGACAGTACCTCGCCACACACCTCGGAGGTTTCCTACACCTACATCGGCTCCAATTGCCAGACCTCGCCAGCGCTCTCCGGCGACTATAAGACCTACAGTCGTTCCGCCGAAAGCGATGCGCTTTCCGTCGGCGATGCTAATTCGATGCACATGCAAACCCACACCGGCTCTGCAGCTCACCAACAGCTGCACGCCCACCTCCAGCAGCAGCACAACAAGAGCATGCCAGGCAGCGCTGGTGGCGGCGGCGGCGGTGCCGACAACACAAGCGCCGGCGGTTCCTCCTCCAATGCGCACGATGACAGCCTCATCGAGGACGGCATCGAAGAGGAGATCATGGACGACGAGAATGACGAGGAGAATGGCGGCAATGGCTCCACCAACGGCGCCGATGGCATGCCGAACAAGAAACGCAAGCGTCGCGTACTCTTCACCAAGGCGCAAACCTACGAGTTAGAACGACGTTTCCGCCAGCAACGTTACCTATCGGCACCAGAGCGTGAGCACCTCGCCAGCCTAATACGGCTGACACCAACGCAAGTGAAAATCTGGTTCCAGAACCACCGCTACAAGACGAAACGCGCACAAAATGAGAAGGGCGTCTACGAGCATCACCCCGCCATGCATCCCCATCACGCGGCCGCTCTGCCCTCGCCACGTCGCGTTGCGGTACCGGTGTTGGTGCGCAATGGAAAACCATGCCTGGCAGATGGCACAAAACTGCCGCAGGATTGCATGACGCAGCAGATGCAGAACGCTGCAGCAGCGCATCACTTGGTGCTGCACGCGAATGGCGCGGCGGCGTATCAGCATGCGGCAGCAGCGGCGGCAGCGGGCTTACACGCAGCGCATGCGCATCCACATCAGCGCCCCTGGTGGCCCTAATATTGCTGAGGGCTGATGGATAGAATGTTGTGGAGGCGTGGTGCTGGAGCAAGCGCAGTGTGAGAATCAGTGAAAGAGGGAGCTGGGTGCCGGCGACAATTGCAAGCGTGTGACAACAGCAGCATTGAGGAAAAGCACGTTGGGTGATAAGCGGAACTTGGATTGGGAAAATTTTTTTCAATAATTTTTTTGAGACAGCAGATGCTTTTGGCGGCGCTACTCGAATATTGGACAATAATTTCAAAAGGCCAGAAAAAATGAAGCAAAATGATAAATTTAAAATTTGAAAGAATGTGTGTAAAAATTAGGTGCAATAAAATTAGTAGTAAAAAAGTTTAACAAACAAAATTTTTTAAAAGAAAATTTAAAAACAAAAATATGCAAGCGCCATTTAGCACGAAATTGTAAATATGTAATAAAAAAAGGTAAATAACAAAAAAAAAATGACTTTTAGCGAAAAAATGTAAATAATTGTATGCAAAATTATATTATCAGAAATTTGTAAATATTTTCTCATCAAAGCACAAAAATCTTCAACAATTAGCTCCTTTTCAATTTATTCACTTTTCTGAAGCTTTCAACTCTTTTTTGTAAATATAACATAGAACTCCAGATTTTCTATAGAAATTCTTGTAAAATAGTACTTTTCTTATTTACTATGCAATACAAGCCACTCCAAACATGAAAAATAATTTTAAGCAGAAAGTATACCTTAAACTTAGTTTAAAACTTAAATTTAAGTAAAGAAATTTAAATAAATACAAATTAAATAAAAACCCGTTAAAACTGTATGTAACTTGTAAGAAAAATCAACAATTTAAAAATTTTCCAATAAACCAATAAATAATGAAAACCCAAAAAACCTTTGTTGTAATTTCCTACAAAATTTCGAAGCATTTTTTTATTAAACTAAAAAATTTTAAACTTTAATTTTATTTCTTGAAGTTAAAGAGAAAAATCTATTGCGAAAAGAAAATTTTCAGTATTCCCTGTAGTTTTTTTTTATTTAAAAGTTTCAATAATTTTATTCGTTGCTACTTTTCAGAGAACAACTAAATAGATCTGCAAACGCATTGAAAAAAAATTTATAAAAATACGACTATCTACAACTTTGTTATAAAGAAATATTTTTATTATAGGCGTTTTGTGTAAAACTGCAAATTTTAAACTTAGTAAATTACAAAATAAAACCAAATATAACTACTAACATTTTTTAAATTTATTTTAAATTTTGTAAAAACACGACGCGTGGGGCAGCAAAAAATGTAGTGTCTTATTAATTTCGCAGAATTCTTAAAAGAAAAGTAGCATTAGGGTGCATCACTCTTCATTCAAAAAAAATAATCGGTAGAGTTTTTCCATCGATATCCGATTTGAAAATAGCTGTACATTTGTATACAGATTTTATAAGCTAATAAACTCTTATATTATCTGTGGTGATTTTTGGAAAAAACTACTTTGCAAAATTAATTTTATTGATAAAAAAAAATAATTTACACACATCAAAACTAATAAAAAATATAAGAAATATATTTAAAAAAATTTCTTTTTTTAAATGTCTGGATTAAGCGATATTTTTTTTAACCAGCTAACAAGAATTTTCTTGAAGAAAAACTTTGACTAAATTCTGGTAAAAAGGAGACACGACGGGACAAAAAACGGTTTCATTAGGAAATTTAACAATAGCAAATATGTAAATAGTATACAATACATATATATATTTTTAAAACCGTCTAAATTTTTTTGTTTCATAAGAAATGTTTTTGTTTAGAAAAAAATCACAATATACGCTGAGGTAAAATTGGTAGGTTCATATTTTTTTAATAAATGTACAAATATTAAATTAATTTTAAAGACTTCGCGCCTAAATATGAGATACATATGAACAAAAAAAAATTAAAAGAACATCGTACATACTTAAAAAAAATGTAGAGAAATGAATTATCTTTGAAAAAATTTCAATTTTCAAATTTTGTTTTTCTTAAAAAATATCTATTTTACAAAAGTCCGAACGCTTGAATTAAATTTTTTTCAAATATGTAGATATATATATTCCGAAAAAATTTTTCGATCCTTTTGTTTAAAAAAATAACTAAATTTTAATTTTTTTAAATCAAATCAAAAAAAAATATTTTACATAAAAGATTTTCGATCTTTTTTCGAAATACTTATATGAGTTTGTGCATATCTATATGTTTTATCTTTCTCGAATATTTTTCATCATTCCTTAATTCTCCTCGTGTCTCTCTCCCGTTCAGCCCTACTCAAGCAACTCCAAATTTGCGTCACTATTTCTTGTTTATCTTATCTCCCTGCAAATATCTTTCTTTTCCACTGTCAAACATCGCCCATATTTGGACGTAATCATTGCAGGTCCTATCAATCTAACACCGGTTATCTGAACGACGTGAATTTTCTTATGTCTAATTAATTAGGAAAGCAAAACAGTCCAAATAAGCAGCGATCTTACAATTCGACACAAATACTTTTCCATATTTGGAAGTCAGATAAAGTCTATAAAAATGTACAACACATCCACCGATAACCAATGCTACGGATTGAACTAGAAAAAGCTGATAACAATACATTTAAAAAAAATATCGGGATGTTTTGTGGAAGACTTCCCCTAGTTGGATGGATAGTATGGGCACAACCCGGATTTCCAAGTAATGTGTTCGAAAGTATATAGGTTTCTCTGCTAACCACTGAGAACAATATTTCAGAACTACAAAAGGAGGGTGCTGTGTTTATCGACTAAGCAAGACCTCAATCCGAAATCCGTAGTATAAGCCTGAAACCACGGATACCCGCTAGATGAATCGCTGTCAGTATATATACTAAGTACACTTAAGCCTCTTTTTATACGGTACATGCGTTCCTCAGAAAGCCGCATAAAAAAGTTCTTTACTTTCATACAAAAAACAGGGGGAAGAGACCGAAGTATATACTTAAAGGATACTATGAGACGCTTTGGAAGAAACTAACCTGTCTAATGGCTAGGTAACAACGGTGAATATTTTACAACCGGTGAGAGTGAAAACAGGAGTGTTAAACTAAATATGAAAACTTTCAGTTCATTCAATGCGGAAGGCCGGACCTATATACAGACTTCGGAACTTTAAACGAAATTTTAGAAAATGATTGTTTGAGATATAAGTATTTTGGTTAAACACTTGAAGTCATGCTCTTATGGACACACTAGGCTTTCTGGTCTACATGGTCTATGGATTGACCTAAACACTACTTTTGCGTACATTTTTGAACTTTCGGTCGAGCACCTGCTGTGTCACGGTCTCCTTTTTCCATGCGCTTAGTGGTTCACTCTAATATTACTGACCTTTCCTTTCGTATAAGATGGATTTGTATTTATCTTGCTGGTTCTAATCGTCAATTGAACGAAACGGACAACGAATCAATGGTTCAAATAGTAATCAGGTTTATTGTTTCTAGGGTCCCTAACTAATTCGACTGATAGGTTTAGGTTTCCTTATAAGAAAAATTAGCCCGACAGCTAAAAAAACAAAAATAGAGCAGAATTCACACTCTTGCGCCACTCTTCGCCGACGGCTAAACTTTTCTCGCCAATCAATTACCACAAAATGACTTCGCGCTATTCACTGCATGTACCCACTCAAAGAGCACAGTACCAGCACTTCAAATAGACAATTTTTTAAAGCAAAAAAAAAATATCGACGCCACTAAAACACTTCTCAATTCAAGTACAGCTCTCGAGTAACTCATAAAACAAACAAGTGTTCAACTAATAAACAACAAATAAAATTACACATCATTGGTGTCGCCAAAAGCAGCAGCAACAATACAAAATAACAAATAAAATAACGAGAGTGCGCACCTCGTCATTCAAGCCAATTAAGTAGAAAACATTCCAGAAGCGTCATCAGAATAGAATTCTGAATATGCTACACATAGTACTACGTAGTAATGACTACGAAACAACACCATAACATGAGATTGTTCTGCAGAACATTGTTAAAATAGAAAGGTTGTACCTACAACACCGCGTTGGTGGTACTGGTACCCACTGTTGATATACTTGAAATTTTCAAGCAGCTGAAATAAAAGTTTCAAGCGACAATTGAAGGTTGGAGTGGGGAGGCTGCTGGCCAAGCGAGATTGTGGTTCTATTGCTAAAGAAGGTACCATAAAATGCAGTGATATATGAGCTTGTTGCGCTAAGTCATACCACATGAGTACAAGCGTTTAATGAAGTGCCATAAAAATATTTGAGATTCGTGCTGTTGAGAGTAATAGCCTAACAATCTAACAATCTAACTGCCTAACAAACTTTCTAGCATATAACCGCATTTTTTGCTGATTCGCAATTGTAGTGACAGTTGTAGAAGCAGTACCATTGGGGGTTCCGCACCCTGCATCCTCACTCACACCTAGCTCATAAATTGTTGCTTTGATATATGAGACACTTATAACAGGCGAGTAGGCGGGCCATCGACTCGTGCGCTCAGCTGGTTGGTCACAGCGTTGGCGAGTTATCACGCATAGCGCCACTTTGTTGGACAAGTTGTTTGAGACAAGTGTTTGAGAATATGACAGCAGAACAAAGGAGGGTGCGGTAGATGAAAGCAAAGAGATGAGGCGTGCAAAAGGCGCTGGAAAAGAGGCAAACGAAATGTGAAGAAAAAATGGCGTTGGAAATTTCGGTGATACACAAACGTCGTCGTCACTCATCACGTTCGTCAGCTAATTGGCTCGCACGTCAGTAAGTTGATTCGCACAGCGCGTTTATCAGCTCAAAATTAAAATAAATATTTGTTTCATACACACACACACACGCAGGAGCCGTTCTGTATTTCTAGCAGCGATATCAAATTTTGTCTTGATTGTGTGTTGTGTATTGCTCCCCCTTTTCGTTATAATTTTTCCTATTATCACGAACACTTTTTTTCATTATTTTTACTGTTATATACTCACACACCTTATATCATTTCATAGCATTGAAAAACTTTGCCATTGTTGCTTTTGTTTTTGTTTGGGAACGCTTGTTGTTTTACGCTGTCAAACTTTGCTATCGCTTGTCTGACCGACCTGCAGAAATGTTTTTGTTGTTAAATATATTGTCAGTCAATTGCGGTTGGACGTTATCGACTTTTCGTGGTAGTCGTGATTTAATAAACGATAAAGGTATATGTATGTCGTATTTGTGTAGCTTATTTGTTTTATTTATTATAACTTTTTTACAATTTCCCTTATTTTATCAGTCAGCGTTTTTCTTCACTAGTCGAACTGGCTGATTGAATGTTGATTTGTAATTTTTTATTTTTTTTGGAGTTTGCAA